CCCCGTCATCGGAGATCGCGCATTATGCGAATTCGATTCCCGTGGGCAAACGCGGCGAACTTTTAAATGCATGACGCGATCTGCATGACGAGCGGCGAAGCAAAAATAGCGAAATAATGTGTGTGTGTATATGCGCAAGCGCGCGCGCTTTGCAACAAAAAAGGAGATGTAAAAATCGAGGATAAAACGCAAACTCGATCCGAAACGCGTTTGTTTCGGATATTCTCCCGCGAAAGAACAATCGGGAAGGGAAGCTTTCTTGGGAGTTCGAGAGACTTTCGCGCGAAAAGTTTTCCTTCGCTTCGAAAGAAAGCGCGCCAAATCGCGCGCGACGTACACACACGGGAATTTCGCGCGAAACCCGAGAGTTTGAGCGAGCGAACGTAATCCGTTCGCGTTTCTCACGGCGTTAACACGGGATTTTCGGGTGGGGATTAATACTATTTCGCGGTAATTGGAAGCTCACGCGGAGCGGAAGCGAGGGAGAAGTGCGGTAACGCGATCCGGGAGAGAGTTTCGTCGTCTCGTATAAATAGTATCGCAAATGCCGCGGCGTTAATTATCGGAAAGGATAAGCCACTGTGTTGCGGGAGAATGGAGTTTACCGCCGGCGCGCGGCGACCGGATAAATCGGGTGTCGCTAGCACATGGCGCTCTCTCGGTGTAATCGAAGATTCCCGCGCGATATCGCACGCGAGTCTTATACCAAGCCGTGGGTTCGATAGGAAAAAAAAAAAAAAAAAGAAAGCAGCGAGTCGAAAGCTTAATGAGTTTTTAGAGAGCAAAAAAAAAGACGCGAATTAATGACTTCGCTACGTAATTCCACACGAGCTTTGCGTAGAGTCTCTCTCGTAAAGTCGTCGTCGTTCGTGCAAAACGACTTCTTTTCATCGTCGTTACGCGTCCCGAAATTATGCAGATGCGCATTTTATAAAAATGACGTTTTATGCTCGGTAATCCGAAAGATTGACGTCGGCATTACGACGCGCGATCCCGCGACGGCGAGTCTGCTTGAAAGACGTTAAAGACGAGAGAGAGAGAGAAGCGCAAAAATTGAATCACTTACCGCCGCTATTAGTCACCGCTAACTTGCGCGCGAGGCGGTTTAATACACCTGAAAGAAGGGAGTTAGGTGACGGATAGGGAGAGAGCAAACAAATTAATATCTCGTCCGTGAGAAGCTGCGCCTGTCTTATCTTTTCCGCAACGGTGAAACGTCCCCGCACCTTTCGCCGTCAGCTCGTCTCTCTTTCGTATCGTTGCTCGCCCCGCTTCGAGCAATTTGCCAAGGACACCTGTCGACCTCGCCCGGCCCTTCTATCACGTCCTCGTGAGTGCCTCTTCGGCATATTGCTTTTTTCGTTCTATCCGGCGAGAAACGAGGGAACTCTGTTTCCTCTCCCTCTCTCGTAAAGCAACAACAAAAAATATTCAGAGCAAATTCAAAGAGCGGAGGTAACTTTTTCGCGAACGATAGCGAAAATCACGGGCGTTTGACGGATTCGAGCGAGAAAAAACACATCGCTCCGCGCGATTCTTCGCGCTAAATTAATCTGTCGTGAGAGCGCGAAATCGTCAAGTCAATCAATATCAAAAGAGACAAGAGCGAAATCACTCGATTCGCTCGCGCCCGATATGAAACGTTGTTCCGCCCGAAGAGCGCTCCGATCGTTTGTCTCGCTCTCATCAATTATTCCGGCCGATGAATTTTACGCTCGTTAAACCGACACCCCACGGGACCCGGGGCGCGCGCTCTCTCTCTCTCTCTCTCTCTTCTCTCGAGCACCATTAAAAAGTTCACACTGTCGACGGTGTCCTGTGGAGCGATCACTTATCGACACTTATGTCGACATCGTTCTCCAACCCCGTTCGATGACACGTGCGCGCGCGAGCGCTCGCTTGTTCATTCTTCCCGATTTTAAGGCGCGAACTTATACCGAGCAAGAGAGAAAGAGAGAGAGAGAAAGAGAATTCATTTGCAGCGCGAAACTCTCATCGTCAAATTAGAATTAAAAGATGAGAGAGTGTCCAAAAGGCTCAAGTTCTCTTCTCGAAGAATTGTGCAAGGACTCTCTCTCGCGTCCTCTGAAAGCGCGTCCGAAAGTTTTCCAAAAGGGAGAAGTAACGGCTAAAGAGTCCGCGCGACTGTAAACTCGCGCGATGATTCAAGCGCGCCGGAAATTCCAGCGGAGCTTTCCGGAGAATTCAAGCATTCAAATACGCTTGCGAAGTTTCGTTTCGACGCATTTAATACATTCCGGAATCTAAGCGTTCTGATAAAGTGGCGTAAAGCTGCGAAGAGGACGCGGGAGGGAAGAGAGAAGAAAAGAAAGAGAGAAAGGGAGGGAGGGGAGAGAAAAGAACGGATTCAAATATTTTCGCGGAGAATTTTTGGAGATCGTTTCCCGTTTAAGTTTTGCGCGCAAGAGTGCAATTAAAACTTACGAAAACTAAGAGAATCCTAGTAGCGTGCGGGAGGAGGGAAAAGGAGGGAGGGAGAGGAGAGAAGAAGAGGGCGACGATCGCTTAATAACTTCGCCAACGAAAGGAAGTTAGTTGCAAAGACTATGCAAATGCCTAGACGCGTCATCCCTTCGTAGGGCTTGCGTGTGCGCGCGCGCGCGCGCGCACCAAACGTCGACTTTTAATTCACTTCGCAATTTGTCTTTAATTAACTCTTAGTTTGTAATGCATATTAATTGGAAGCTCGGGGACGCGCGGGATTTAGCAATTAGGTCACGTCACCGGTCTCGGGGAAACTGCGTGCGTGCGACTCTCGCGCGGTCTCATCTTGAAGATACAACATCCGGAGTCCGCTGCGTTCGGATGAAAGTGAAACAAACAAAATATCAGCACGCATTTGTCCTTGCGACGTAATTACGCGATCGATAAAATATATACGCGTCACGCGGAATAATTTGTAGAACACTGTCAAAATCGTGAAGCAAACTTCACACACTCTCTCAGTGTTCCGTTGAATAATCTCTGAAACGTTTAATTCAAACCGACGGAGTTTGTTTTGAATTCGAAAATTTTTAAGAATGTTATCGCGAGCACAACGAGGAAAGTCGAAGGAACGTCGTTCGAGGGAAGAGACGTTGTTTCGAGTTTTCGTTCGGTTGACATTCGCAATCCAAATACGAGCTGTCGGCCGCCCTGCGCGGCGGCTGCTCCCCCGATATTCTCGGACAAGAACAACTTCAACTGGAGAACGCGTCTAGAGAGAGAGAGACAGAAGAAAGAGAGAGGGAGAGAAACTTCTAACTGGACCGTTGGACAAGAAGGGTGGCGTTCGACAAATTGTTGAAGCCGGACTGACGTGTCCTCGACGTAATGGCGGGATTGTGCGCGAGCGGTTTCGACGAGGGTTTATCCTCGAAATTTACAACAAGCCCTCAAAAAACACCGCGGGGAGGCGCTTCGCGTTACCCTCGGGCGCTCCGAATTACAGAGGGGGATTGATTTCTCCGATGTGCGATTATATAAACCGAAGCGAAAGCGTTTGCGCATTCCGTGACAAGACTGTAATACGCGTCTCGAAACGATCAATACTTGACGTTGTAATTCTCGGTCGGCGTCGAATTTTATCTCATTTTTGACTTTTGAGATCTTTCTCTTTTTTTTTCAAATTCTTCGATGTTCTATATCTAATCTTTTATATATTCGAGCGCAAGTTTAATCCTCTCTGATAACTTTTATAATACAATCGAAAATATAATCGATGGTGCGAAAACTTTTTACGAAATGAAGATCCTGCGGGAACAGGACAACAAGAGGAAGAAAAAAAAAGACCGCGAATGTCTTTTTTCCCACTCGCTTCACTTGGCCGCGCTTTAGGACGGCTCCATCGGTTGTTCGCAAATTCAGCCGCGAAGAAAAAACATTGTTCTCCGTAAACTTTGTTTCAACTCGCTCCTTCCTCGCGAAAGAACTAATGAGCGCTAAAAAGACCGAGGAGTTTTGCTTAAAACATTTTTAATTAATCTAATAAAACACAAATACGGGGAGAAATAACTTGCAATTGGCACACTTGTTACACCCGGCGTCTGCAAATCGCGACTTTTTTTTCCCCCGTTTAAAACAAATCGTTCGTCCATTATTCCAATCCTACCGTTCGCGAACATCCCGAGTTTAATCCTCGAAGGACCGTAGGAGGATCGGATCACATCTGTGATCCGGTATTTTTACTGAATGTAATCGAAAGATCACTCTTCGTCTTTTTTTATATTTTCTCTGAATATACGTATTTTATCATTATTTAAATACATTCAATTAAGAAACTTTAAAAAATATTTTAGAGATATTTTTCACGCATCCTGCTGGTCGAGATATGCTACCCGTAGTTTCTTCGCTATCTACCGACAACAGTCGCGACTTTTGCCAGTCTTTGAGGTCGGGCTTTTGTGTCAAAACAAAACACACATGAAAGCAAGCCCGAAAGTGTGTATGTTTGCGTTCGTATATGCAGCCGCTTTGCTTCACCTTCGCGTCAGTGTTATACACGCAAGACAGATGGAAACGTATCTGTCTTGGTGAGAACAATCTAATATCGAAATATCGTTATGATAAATCGAAGACGTACGTTTTAACGACTCGAGTGTGCGTGCGATTTATAGCGCAACATTTTTCTTCGCATTTCGTTGCATCGATTTGGTTCGCATTTTCACACAGCCGCAAGTATATTACAAAATCTATTGTTTTTATCGTTTCGTTTTTCATATCGAACAATTATTCGGAATATATTCTAGAAATTGTAAACGTCGTCCCACTTTTGAATTAAAAATATGTTTGTTCGATATTTAATATAAACACAATCGCGCTCTCTCATCAAATTTCATAAAACCTATTTTCGCGCTGAAAATACAGTCACACGCGCGTGTTTTATCAACACAAGAACAAGAAGAAAAGAGAATTTTGTCAACAAAAAGTCTGATCAGAAACCAAGAGGATTCCCTCGCGCGCACATCATGTGGGAAATAATCAGAATTGTTCACTACATAATGCGGAACGTTCAAACGACAACAATGCTCGTCGTTTATGGCAGTTTGAGTTACGCGCTTATAGCATTACAAAATTTATTTAAAGGTAAAAGTTGAACTCGCGTCAGAACGTACGCACAAGCAATCTCACGCAAATTGCAATTAGATTTGTATCTTATTTTCAGACTCGATTCGAAAAAGACGCTTGTATGACAAGATGCTGCGAGCGCTTGAGATGAACATCGTTTACTTTCTTTACTACAAACTGATATGCAATATGTCGAGACTGATTGAGGAGTGTCAGCGCAACGCCGCCAAGAGGACGGAACAACGCGCGTTGCGCAATCCCGCGTAAGATTTTCAATTCTCTCGAATCACTCGCGCACTTTCCGCGCGTATTGATCGCGTGATCAGAGACTAGTTCTCTCTCATCGCGGAAAGCTGCGACTTTTTCGATCGATTTATTTTAATATTATCTCTCGGAGTTTTAAACGCGTTTGAAAATATGAAACTCAATTCAAACGAAACGTTTGTTTGCGAATAGATTCCGAAGACGACTAAAGGTGATTAAGTGCATCGACTTGCTCGAATTTTATCTAGGAGAGGAGGAAACGGGAGAAATAATGCGGAAAGTAAGTACAACGTGTGATTACTCGGAGAAATTTCGTTACTATATTTCTCACACATCGAATCTGATTTGCAAACGCGCGATTTAAAATCGATTTTTGATACTTTTCCGTACAGTTCAAACAATGCATCCTTGCCAAGCGAATAAACCTCAAATCCAAATTACTGTGGAACATGATACACAGACTCAGAAGGTTGCCAAAAACCAATCGACAAGTGGAAGCAGCAGTAAGTAAAATATTGCGATTACTCTCTGTGTGACAGTTTTTTTGTCATCTCTCGTTATTTTTGCGAAAGTGAATTTAAACGCGAATTGGAAACCGGCCGTCGATCTGTTTGTCTCGTATCCTGTTAATTCGCGCTCGATTCTATTATATGATTTTAGACAATATTTATATCTTGAAATATCTGCCGTTAAGTATAGAAAGAAGGGAAATTATCAATTTTAAACAATAATACACACACGCCATTGTGTTATAATTTTATTATACACTCTCGTGTATATTTTTTGCAGCTGTTAGACGCGTTCTGGCACATACGCACACCCGCGGAAGCGAGAACAATATTAAGCGAAGTACCTTACTTCGTTGATTTTAAACGTAACGTAATTGACGAAATGGACTAAAACGAAATTCGACGAGGGGCGTGTCGAAAGTGAGTAAAACATATGTTGTTACGTTCAAAAGTTTGTTATTTACGTTTTACGCCGCAAATCTAATGCCATTTTGTATTTTTCAAGTCGAGATTGTCGCTATTTATTGCAAATTCGCACGCACCTCAACGGAAGACACAGACGTCACCAGTATAACACGTCGTCGAAGTGACGAAGAAACAGCTTTGTTTATGTTTTTACACAAATTGTACATGTATGAGAAATTTATACGCAGTGTGTTGCGGGACAGATGACACAATCGGGAAAGAGCGTGATTCTTCGCGCGAGATTTTCAATTGTTGAGAAAATTGACCTTAAATATTGTAAACTCCGTATTCACTTTGTTTGCATTAATTTGCCTCAATTGCTCACAATAACCTCTTATCGTACAGTATCACGTGTTTTTGCACAAAATATTAACAAATTAATTAAAAAAAAAAGGCAAAATACTCCATTTAACAAAGCTTTTAAATCTTCGTACGTTCGTTTTACTAATAATTTTGACTCGCTTTGTGAAATGGAGAGAAGATCAAATGTGTCGATATTTTAAATTTATTAATATATCTGTTGTCAAAATACTTGATGACGACTTTGTGTATGACACAAAGTTTATCAGAGGTCGATCAAGCGTAACGAAAAATACACGCGATATGAATTTTTTAATTTTCCAAATCAAACACACAGTATTCTTGTCGCGCTTTGTATTCTTACGGGAAGCTCTTTATTCTCACAAACAGCAGCGCGACTTTTTCATCCACTCCTGTCACGCTGTTATCCCGCCTGTTACAGTCGCCCATGTCACTTCTGCTCGCGGCGAATAGCAGAACAACGCGTAGCCTTTGTATCGCGCGCGCGCGTAAAGACTCTCTCGTCCGAGAGCGGGAGAAAATACAAGAGAGAGAGATGCGTGAGAACAGGAGTTTATGGGTATCAACGTCGTGAGAATACAGGGATACTGCGCTGTACCTTCATCCCCGATTGTGCCACCTGCCCGCGCGCGTTCTGTGTGCTATTTATGTAAAAGGCGCTACATGCTCTCGCGCTTGCTAAACCAAAACGAAAACAACAACAATTGCGCGACGACTCTTTGTGGAGATGTAAAATTACAGCGAAGTAATTGTGTGTTTATTTTTGCACGCGTGCAGTTTGTCCTTCTTTGCCGTCGCATTTGAATCCCCATTATTCAAGACGACGCGGATAAATTGTTATTTTCTCTCCACTACGGTGCGATAATCGAAAATAGAATTAATATTTTTTTATCCGTTGATATTATTCACAAATAAAACAATACACGATGCAACAATAATTACAGCCTTTTCTATTTTATATCTTGGATGGATGTTTCTTTTTCTACGTCGAGAGACAGGATGTCAATAAAAGTGTCGATGTGAACAATTTTACGCGATATATCTCTTTAGGACTATAAATCATTTGCGCCAGTCTCACGGGATCGTTAAGGAAGACAAGTTAGACGGCGCCCGATGCTTATGCTCGAATTCCGCGGCGATTGTTCCCAACAATTCACGTCAAGCGAAAGGCGAGAGAATCGAACAAAGAAAGAGAGGGAGGAGGGAGGTTGAGGAGAGAAGGTAAGAGAGAAAGAGAGAGAGGGAGGGTGAAAGAACACGATGTCGGGAAGGAAGGACAGAGAGAGAATCCGGGGAGAGAAACGGATGTGCGCGAGGGCCGTCGTGGATAGCTTCCTTGGAAAGCCGGGGGTTTCCCGTAATTTCCCGAGGGTAAAGCCGTAGGAACGTGCTGGTTTCGTCGACGAACGTCGTCTTCGTCGCCGGAGACGACAAGGCCGCTAATCTCTCAAGTTGCAGCGCGAGAAATCTAGGTCGAGAGAGAGAGAGAGAGAGAGAGAGAGAGAGAGAGAGCGAGAGCGAGAGCGAGAGAAAGAGAGAGAGGAGAAATAGAAAAACTCCGCCGAGATGGACAGCGGAATCTCTTTCTTGCAGAATGAAGGAGAAAGGGAAGAGTGATCTCTCACGCCAGATACTGTAATAATTTCCGCACGCATAAGACGTGAGGAAGTAAACCGATTCTCGTAGCTTCGCATTTCCGAAACGCTCGTCCTTGCACTTTTGGATCTCCCTCGACTACATCTATCGCGTACAACAAAAAAAAAACGAGTTTAACGAGTGTCGCAAACGCTTCGGTATATCAGAACCGACCTTTAAAAGACGTCCCAAGTAAAAAGTAAAAGATTCAATTCTCAAGTGAATACGAATTCGGAAACTCTCTACTTCTTAAAACAAGATTTGGCTTTGGTCACGTTTCAGAACTTCGACGTTTTCCAAATTGTCGAGAGTCTGTGCACATAATCGATGTATTTATATACATATATATATATATATATATATGTGTGTGTGTGTGTAATCAAATGATCTGCGTCCCACATTCGCTCGCTTCTCTCGTTTCCGCTATATCTCGACGTACGGCGATTTCCTCCATTCCTCCGCGCGAGTAACGCCGCCTCAAATACATCCAAGACGCAAAGACCTCATTTCCCTGCGCCTAATTTAACCCTCGCGGCTGTGCTCCTCGACCTTCCGTCCAATTTCTCTCGAATAGGAACAACCGGGCTGTTCGCGACAGTTCGCCGGAGGAGAATAACCGCAGATCTCTCTTCGAATCTTCCCGTGTTAAGGCGGGATGGCGGATATGCCGGAGTCATCTGCTGCGAGTAAATTTCTGCGGCGTTTCCCAGAAACCGGTCCGAGACAACGAACAAACGTCGAACGCGGTCCGGTCGAGCGGGCACAGGCGGTCACGGATACCGCTTTTGCGGTTGATCGAGTTGTTCTTGCGGCAAGATGGCAAGATATTGGACCGTGGCCAACGCAATTTTCGAGTTCTTATTCCGTTCGCCGCTTTGACTCGGCGTAAACAGCGGGACACGGTCGTAAAGAACATATGAGACACACCGAGCAACGTGATTGAGGTGTACGCGAACGACTATCGCTCGCGCTGTTGTTGTCGCTGAAAACGACGTCTCTACAAGGCGTCTACAAAACGTTGCCTTCCGACACGACATTTTGAAGATCACGAGATTACAAAACAAACGAATGTGCAAACACAGAAAAAAATAAAAACCGCCAGTTTTGAAAAATGCAATAGCAAAATTGAATAAATAAACAAACGGGTCAATAGAAAAAAAAAAAAAACGTTTTTTTGAAAAATTGAATATTGACCCAACAGTAAAATATAAATTACAAAACGTTTCAAATCCCCATAAGATTCTCAATCAAAATAAATATTTACAAGATGTGGAAAAAAATCAGAGGGACGCAAATCCGATCGATTTAAAATTCAAGGACTCGAGCGTTGGAGCGTCGAAGTATCTCGCACGGAACACAAGCGTCTATAGATTGAAGAATTCTAGGTCGCTCGTTTACATGTATACGTGCCCTCAGACGAGGGCCTCATTCCCGCTCCGGATAAGCCGGACGATGTAGGTGGAAGGTAATCTCGGTCGGGTCAGATTTTGAAATGGATTCCACGCGAGAGGATCGGTTAGCGGCTCCTCCCCTCCCCCCCACCCTCGTTCTTCCCGACTGCTAACACACAGCCAGGATCGCGCGAGGTCTACAGGAATCGCGGGAATTGCCTGGTCCGCTAAGCTCGCCGAGATTGCTTCCTGTTTCCCCGAGCGACACGTACTTATTTCTCTCGAAAGAAAAGAAAAAAAAAAGGAGAACGTCGCGATAAACCTCGGCAAGAGATGCCGCGTGACCTCCGAAGCAGAAGAGACGTGGAAACGAGAAGAGAGAAGGCAAAGGGTGGGAAGCTCGCTTGCGCGCGCGCGCTCGCGAGTCCTTCAGGAATGCTTGTATTCCGAACTATTTAGATCCCGGTGATTTCCTTGAATCTTTAGATTCCTGAAACGTTGGATTCCTCGAGCCTGTAGTCGTCGCGCGCGGCCGAGTTTCCCGCGAAGCAATAAAGGCACGAAACCTTCATTCGCAAAACGGAAGAAGAAAACGACAAAGTTTCTCTCCGTCTCTCGTTTTGAAGCGACGACGACGTGCGCGCAGCAACTCGTCGCGTACTAAATTAAGTTTATCCGCAACACGCAAGTTCTGGAGACACATCGGCTTGTCATAATGGAAACCACGTTTTCCGTGAAAACACATTTCGCGCAACAAAATGGCACATTGCGCGCGGGGGAGCGAAAAGCCTCCTCCCCCCTCCCTCCCTCCCTCCCTCGTGGTCTTAAGTTCAATTGCGAGAGAATGGCGACGTCGGGCAACTGTATTAAAAGGATTACCCGGGGAAAATGGGAAGAGTCACGCGCGCAATAGCTGGAAGCAACGAGTCCGCTTTTGCGGAGTAAGACGTAACACACACACACACACACACAGACTCAAACCGCTACTTTAACGTAATGCCGGGGCGATTGAGGAGTATAAGTGAAATAAGTCTCTGTAATTTTGAGGGACTTTACTTTGAAAATTTCTGCCCCGAAATGGGCTCTCGGACGTTATTCTCGCTAACGCGAAGCCTGTGTTTAAATTGCGTTTCGAGTCGCCCTCCCTCTCTATGCAAATTAAAAACTCATCGTACACTTGTTTTCTCCCTCGCTAACATTTCGAAATAACCGTGGAAATTTCGAAATAATCTTTCTCTCTCGCGCGCGCGCGTCGCAACGAACTTACCCCCCGTCTCGCGTATGAATTTCTATTGCGCATTACCGTTATGAATTAAGTGTCGTTCGAGTCGCGGTAAAAAGTTTTGCAACGGGGAAATCGAGCGACGGTCGTCTGGAGAAGCGCCAAACGCGCTTCGGTCGTGTTGTTTCACGACCGGATATTTCCCGGGAGCAAGTTTCGCGCTATGACGTCAACTTCCCCTCCCCCCCCCCCAAGAATCCCTTTTATACGTCTTTCGAAATCTTCGATCCCGGAGAAGTGGCCATCGCTTCCCTTCCCGTAAACCGTAAAAAAAAAAGTGCAGAGTCCACGAAAAACGTTAACTGCAAAACAAAAAAAAATTAACTAGCAAGTCCTTTGCCAAACGACGAATTTTCGAGTCGAATTCACCGAATTGCCGTAAAATATCGCGTAAATCTCTCCCCAAATTGATCGCGACAAAATTGAACGTACGAGATTCTATTCCAGGGGGGGTCGAAACTTTTTAGATGTTCCGCATTGTCCGACTTTTGCGATTCGAACGAGCGTTTTTACGAGAGGGGCGATCGGTATCTTAGAAGATGAAACATCAATCGACATCAATGTGTGACAAGCCAATGTCGCTATTTGCGCGTCGATCTCTACGCTTATCAGTCTCGATCCACGTGTATTTTCACAAAGCCGTGTACTTTTTTTCACACGTAATCAAACGAGCGAGAGCGGAGGATTACGCCGAACAAATTGAGCGTATTGGTTCTCGCGTATAGCAACGCGCGTATATCCGCGCCATTAACGAGCGGAGTGTATAAAGCGGATTTAAAGCCGGAACCGTAAGTGTGCCAGTGTGTCAGAGACGCGGTCGATATATCGCGGGCGCCGCGGGCGCGAGTCTCTCGCGT